TCTCTGATCATTTTTCCACCGTAAGCGTGAAGGCGAAAGTCAGTAGATTGGAAACAAACGAAGAGCATGCTAGCGAGAGAGGTGCAGAGTCTCGCGCGGGAGCAGAGGTGCTGGTGCACCAGACATTGCAATTGATAAGCCCCGTAGGTTGCGTCGATAAGCGGGAGAGCACATGGCATCGGAAAGATTCAAGTGACTGCCCCACCGAGCCGCGCAGGAGAAATAGTCCTAGAGATCATAAGTTAGGTTTTCACAGTTTCTTTGCACCGCCACTTTTTAAAAATTTCAAAACAGCTGCATATAATTTAAAGGCCCGTATTTGAAAGCCTCAAAAGATAGTACATTCAAGAAGCGAAATTATAAAGTAAAAACAAAACTTCACAGAAGCAGAGGAATGAAGAAATTACTATCCAGACAGTAGACCTCCTGAGTCAATTTTTTCTAGGATCTGCTTACATTTAATTTTTATTTTCTATTGAAAAGCACGGGGAGCGTTGTAGCGCTACAGTAGGATACGTTAGAAAAGATCTTCTACTTCTAGCTTTCTAAAAAATTTTTTTCTTTCTCGGTAAGAGTATGGCCCGCAAACCCATCGCCATCTGCTCTCTAAGCTGAAATTACGGCAGTAACGCACTATAATCCGTGCCATCTATATGCACACCACTCTGTACAAATGAAAAAGTGTCTTAAGGGAAAATTGCTGCTGGCGTTTTTGGTAGAGTAGATCACTGCATTTCAAGCAATACACCACGGTTCGAGACAGGCCAAGGACATTCCTTTCACTTTGCCAGGTTATTTGTAAAAGCCTCGCTATCAAAAATTGATGATAATTCTATCAAAAATTTCGCCTAGCTGACGGAAAATGAACAATGTAATAATATTTCAATGTTTTATCAATAAAATATTACGAGCGTTGCCGTTTGGACGATGAACCTTTCTAACCCTCCAGAAGAAAAGGTATCCCAACTTCTTATTTTCTACTATAAAGAGAGGCTTATCATAGCACTTCGATAGAAATCGCTTGAAAAATTGAATGTATTGAATACAGAGCGTTTTACCAGTCGGCAACAGTTATACATATTATACATTTGTAGTCCGCAACTGTTGCTTTTGCAGACATCTGGCAAACTGCCAGTTGGCGTCGCGATTGAAATCGGGTGAAGTACGCCCGAATGCTGCTTGATACCTCGGAAATATCACTGTGCCTTCAATCTCGATGCTTTCGAAAAATCGATGATAATCGCTATCAAAGATTTCGCCTAGCTAACGGAAAATTTGAACAATGTAATAATAATCCATTTATCAATAAAATATTACGATCGGTTGAAAATGAATAAAAGGGGCGTTTCTCATTTCGAGCATCACTTTTCAATTTCCTACTTTCTTGTTTGCGATCAAATGTTCAATACTCTTCAGTTTGATCCCGGCACCGCGTATTTTTGCGCGCTCTTGTACGCCAAAAGAACGCAAGCATGGGTGCCGCGTAAGTTGCTTATGGCATTTTTGTCTGCTATGCACTTCTGCACACATTATGTCAGCTTAACTCACGACTCACCTTCAACTTACGGATAGCGAGGTGAACTGAACGCGGCATGCTTGGACCGCCTTCTTACACTCAAACTTTATTTCCTAAGGCGCGATAGAGGGTAAGCGATTGCAAGTTTAACCTACAAACTTCCGAGGGGTCGGCTCAGCTTAACTGAGCGGACGGGGGGAAAGGGGACCTTACGGGCCTACGTCTTTTGATTGGTCGACGATGTTATACTGGTTGCCCCAAAAATTCTCCTATTTTCAGATTACCATAAAAAACATGAAATGAAGATAGGCAGGCGCTTCGTAGAACGTTCGACAAAGCTTTACTTCTTCAATTCAGCATTTACGTTCTTGATCTGGTTGCTCTTGCGGTCACTAGGAAAGCCAAAATTTTGCAACATGGCGTCCACGCTTGGCTAAAGCAAATTCTTTGAAATTTGTGAAACTTTTGGAAGAGCTTCGATAGCAGTAGATAAAGTATTTATAACACAATATAATGAATTTTTCTTGCATCTACAGCTGGCTGCGGTCTCAAAATCCTCAGAAAATTCAAAATTAATTTTTATATTCGGTTAAGCCAAATTTAAAACATCAGCTGAAGAGCAAGGTGTCATTCGGAGCAATTTCTTAATTCTTTCTGAAGCGCAATTTCATTTTTAATTTGTGGTGCCTTCGCGGACGAAATTATTAGAGTTGTAGATGTTTGCCATTGATTATACATTCTAGCAGATATAGAACCTTGACAAACACTAATTGACAATATTTGTAAAATGTATTTTGCTAAAAGAACAACTATGAAATAACGAAAAATGTATGAAAGCTTACCTATGAAAACGAACGAGACTTTTTCTAGCGCTTTCAATGAGTGTAACTGTAAAGAGATTAGGAACACTCGAGAACTTGAAAGCTCGAATGTTTTTCATTATAGAGCTGCGAATTGTGAGAAAAGCCGCCTTTTAAGGTTTCAAATTGGAACATACTTTGGAATGGAAGCGGTCACGCTAGATCGTTATCAAAAGGTTGTCAAAAAATTTCAAAAATGAATTTTGTCTGGAACGAAACATGTGACCCATGTGAAAAAAAACTTAGGTCTACAAGGTAATGAGGGCAAAACTCAGGAAAGTATTCAAAAGGTGTTTTAAAAAAATTCTAGTTACTACTCTTCAATGTTGATAGAAATAAGGTAGATTTTTTGGAGAAACTGAAAAGTTAATGTGGTGCAGGAGGAATTATAATACGTTATGAGTTTCTGCCTAACGCGGAAATGTCTAACAGTGTTTTGAGTTATCTACACATAAAACTGAAATAAAATTCTAAACCCATGAAAAGGAATAGATAATGTATGCTTTGAGGAGCCTGTTGTCGATAATAAATGCTGACGTTTGAAAAAAAATGAGAAATATTTGGTAGAGCCAATGCAGGTATGACTTGCTGATATATAATTGTTGACAAGACAATATTTCTACTAAATTTACTTTTATGACGTCACCCAGCACTTGCAAATAATAACTCATTTGGCTAAGCAGCAAGCAGATGGGGTGAGGATGTGTTTGATTAGTTTACTATCAGACGTTGATTTCCATTTTCGTTCTTTGACATTTTTTCCTAATTTAGAAATGCATAGTTTTACCAAGCAGCTAGTAATTTGTATGCCCGCTGTATGGAACTGGTTGGTCAACTAGTTGGAATTAATTAAAAATGATACAATACATTGGTAGCGTCAGCAAAGAATTTGTTTGAAGCAGCAGTCTTCGAGAAATATTGTAATTGCCAATTCAACGGTGAAGCTTTCAAATTCAAAAATTTACAAACATTTTTATACAAGACTAATCTAGAGTTCATTAAAATTTACTGAGCACAAATTACTATAAAAAACGAATGAATTGCATTATTCCCTAATCCAGGTAGATCGCTTCTATAGTTTCAGCTATCCATTCTTTAGAAGGTTAACAAGCAACACCAAGATGCAATAATAAATCAGGTGGTTAATCCCTATATACACAAAATTTCCATGACACCGTATAGGATGCCTTAATCTAGAACTCTAAGGGCATGACATAAGGTAGTTTTCGCTATCTACTTTGAAGCTAGCAAAAATAAAAAGTGTAAATTCCGCCACCCTTACCCGAATAAGCCTAAAGTGATGAATTCTTGTGTAATTCAATGATGATATCATTTTTCCTGACTTCAAAAACGATGCTTGTTTGACTTCAACTATTGCTTTTTCTGTACATTTTCACAATACTTTCAATTTCTCCGGTTAGTAAATTGATACAATTCAAACTTCTTGCTGAACATTCTCTATGAAAAATGAACAGGCTAGAAATAACAAAGTGAGGTAATGCAACAGAAGCTGATTCATTTTTCCATTCCATCGGCCAATTTATTTTTGCATGTAAATCAATCCATATAAAGATGAGAGAACCGCTTGAAAATTACCCTTCCTCTTATCCGCTTGATTCTTTCAACTATTAGGTTGCTACATAAGTCTTGTTACACTTTAAATTCTTATGACGAAAGTTGTAAACTTCATGATTTTAAAAGGGCTCCAGGTACCATTCAATACAGCAAAGCAAGCTCTACAAGGTGGTATGCAAAAGTTCGCACCAACTTCGACCCACTGTAAGTTTGCATCCGGAATCTGAATTCTGGCTCAAGAAATTGGGGGGAATTCATATCTCCTTGTTTAGAAAAATCCTACCGGATTTTTAACCCGCTCATACAGATTGCACATCACATCAGACACTCATATGTACCATGCTGTAATTTTTCCTCATCTAAAAGTCGAAAAACGAAAATTTCTTGTTGCTACAAAAACGAAGCTATGCTGTTTTCATTTATGTAGTCGTATACCACAAGCCCTTAGAAGCAAAGTCGTAAATTTTCAGCTTTTCACAAGCCTTAGTTGTCAAAAAATACCGAATTTAACTTTTCTCACTCAGGTGTTCAATACTAAATTCGGTATTTTTCGAAAACTATGGTTTGTGGAAATCTGAAGGTTTACGATTATACTTCTATTGTAGTATACAACTGCATGAATAAAAACAGCATAGCTTTGTTTTTGTAGAGACAAGAAAATTTTCGTTTTTTTTGATTTCTAGATGAAAAAAAAATACAGCAACGGTACATATGAGTGTCTAATGTGGAGTACAATCGGTGTGAACAAGTTGGAGATGCAGAGGATTTTTTTGAAAGAAGATGTGGATATTTTCTATTTTTTTGGGTCTTCAGTGCTACTCAAATTCCGAATACAAACTGACGGTGAGCCAAAGCTAGTGCGAATTTTTGCACAACATCTTTTAGAGCTTGCTTTGCTCTATCGAACGGTACCCTAGATCCCTGTTAAAATTATGAAGTTTACGACTTATCGTCGTAAGAAATCAAAGTGTAGCAAGACTTATATAATAACCTAATATATCACAAAATCACGTTCTATTTTATGTATACACAATCTGCCAAGAGCAACGATGAAACTTTTTCTGCTCCTGAGTATTTTCGGAATCGCAGCTCTGGGATGGAGTACTGGAATACTGCGGGATGGAATTGGTACTACTCATTCATGGTGGAAACAAGATTTCACTTTGAAACCACAGTGGGTTCGAGTTGTAAGGCACTACTTCAAAGTAAAAATGCTCTTTTTTAGGAGAGTTTGGGTAACTAAAAAAGCAAAAGGGAACTGCACTTGCAAGCCGTACATAATTGGGCTAGGACCTTCGCCTCCCGCGAAATCCAAAATTCTGACTCTAAGGGAGTGCATAAATGAATGCGAGATCTATGAGCAAAGATTCCGTGACGGTCAAAAAAGTAAAAAAACATGATGGATGAAGTGGAAGAAGTACGACAGCTCCACTACATCCTCCACTACAACTGCATCATAATTTCGTTTGTATAAGATGTCGCAGCTTTCAAATCTTGTTCTTCTCAAATCGCATAGTCTAGTTTATGTTTTTCATATCAGTTTTACCAAACACTCTGTTGAAAAGAACTATGTGGGTATATGGTCTATGAACTGAAGGTTGTTTACCTTTCCTTGGGAAAATAAATGCTGTCATTACATCAATGTCATGTCAATTTTACAGATAAACATAGTTTAGTGAACAAAGCCTCATGACTCCAACATGCAAGAGACCCAAAGCGCTTTAGTGATAAAAAGAGCCGGATAAAGATCACGTCGGTATAGAAGGTAAAATTCGCTACGGGTCTCTCAAAAAACTGTCCATTACTACTTTGAAAACAAGCTAACCGACCGTGCTTGACTCGCTTAAGTGCTTTCTCGAGATGAGAGTCTTCAGATAATCAAATAATCAAAAACGCGAAACAATTTACGATTTATTAAAGCGGGGGTCTTCCTTATTGTGGGCGAAAAGACACTAAATTGCAACGTTTTTTTAGTTGACGGTTCGGTTTTTTGAAGATTTTTTAGGATTATGGTTTAGGGTCAAAGAGGATTTCGTAAAATTTTGGGCAAGTCAAGGGAGACTTCGTTTCTTGCATTTTCCAAAAGCCACCTCGTGCCGAACCTTGATGTCGGGCAAATCAGTATGTCAGCAGATTGTATCAGAATAGGGCTTTTCAAATCTGTAACTGTTATGGCAACAGCCAGTTGCCCTACATCCAAGATGGAGAATGAGAATGCTACTTCAACAGAAAGTCAAAGACAATATAATGTAATGGAAATGATGCTTAGATACGATCAGTACTGCTATTCACACTTCATTAATGTACCACTTAGCTTTAACTTAAAGGGCCGGACACACTTCACGCAATTTCGGTCGTGATGCAATTTGGCTGTCCGCCGGAAGTTTGAATCCAACGCTAGCAAAATGTACATGCATGGTGTGTATAACTTAAGTGGATTGATAAAATGCCCTATCTCCTCTACATTTGAAATGTGCTTACAATGAGTTATGGACAGTTGGAATCTTGCCAAATCCCGTGAAGTATGCCCGGCCCTTACCAGTGATCCATATCCTAGGGCTGGGAAGGACCTGAATGGTGTTGGCTTACCTTGCGCTTCTGTCCGCAAGCTAAAATTTGCTAGTTATGGTATTTTAAGGTTTTTATTTTTGAGTTGACTTGATGTGCGCAGTCTGAGCATATAAACAAATAGTTATAGATATACCCTAGCTTCACGATTTATGAAACAATCATAACTGCCTCCGAAAATAATGCAGACTGGCCAACTAATCAGGTAAGCTTTTGAGTAATTTTTCGCTCGAACTCAAAAAGGTATTAATAGATGACTTCGAGAAATATGTATGAATTCTATTTGTCTGCGAAAATTTTATAATCCTAATAACATAGGATTCATTATCTTCTGCGAAATTTTTAAGGTAATTGGACTATTGCCAGTGGCATAAGTCACAAAAAAATGATAACGATTTTGATTTGCTAAATTACCTGTTTGAGGTGATTTTTAAAGGCTTTTATAGCATGAAAGTCGAGTTCCCATAATAATCAAATGCTTTCCTGGAGTAACATTATGACCAGAACAAGATTTTGTAGTGCTGAGTCGCAGTGATGATGAGAAAATTTGGCATCTAAACAAAATCTTATTTTTTTCACAAATCTCGTGCATAAGCTTTTCAGAAACTATAGAAAGTTGCATCAAAGTAGGCTCATGACAACAAGATTTTTGCTCAAATCAATTGTCCTTGCAATTTGGGCATGATTTATGGTTTTCGCCATAGATTAGCTACAGTCCTTCGCAAATTTTCTCTGTCTTTAGGTGTTCTTAAATAAAAGAATTCATAAAAACGGTTCTAAGGTTCAAAAAGAAAGGTGTTGACATTATATGGTTGGAATCCAGATAGTGGAACTATCCAGTTGACCATCTGGAATAAGAAAACAAGTTCAGAGAGAAAGGAGTACTGGTGAAAGAAACCTCTCTCCACTTATGCAAGTTTAATAAAAAAAGTGATACATCAAATTACCGGACGGTAAGAAATCTCTTGGAAATCGTTCGTATTCTGTGATGTGTAGTTGTTCTTACGGTAAGATTGTCTACGGCTTAGTACTGTAAGATTGCCGACTGTTTACGTAATAGGATACTTTAATTAGAGGTAATTAATGAGCTGACTATAATAGCCATGGAATTAAACTATTCAAGAAAGGTTTAAGCTTCTAAGTCCTATATATAATTTCGCTCAAAAATTCCAAATGAAATCGTTGAATAGGGAAAACTGGAAAATTTGGAATCTACAAAGCAACTAGAATTGGTTCGCACGCATGTTGTCTTACGGAAATAAAGAAAAAAAACAAACAGTTTGTGGAAATGTCCGTGAAAATTTAGGCCAACAGGTTCGTGCTGTTTTCAACTGTTGAAAAACAAGAGGACATGCAACAAACGAGGAAATGAAAATAAAAACGAGGTAGAGTGAATCCGTTTCATATGAGCAAGCAGTTCCAATTATAGAATTAGAAACTTTTTATTTCATCAGGAACTTCCGGATATAAAAAACGAGAGAAATTCCCAACTTCCTTAGTTAAATTTAAAAACTCTTGCAAAAGCGAGAATTTGAGATCGGTGACTAGGGAGCAAAGCTTTTCCAAAATGACCTCTTGGTCGTGACTCTTGCGTTCTCCTGGAGTCCCATATCCAGCATGGATCTTATCTAAATCAAGATTTCACCATTTTTTCCCAATTATACGGGCATTGTACGCTCGCTTGTTAGAAAGTGTTGAAAATAGAAGTAGTCAGCGAAAGCTAGCGTTTTTTTCAAGTTTTTGCCCCAGATTTGACCTAGTTTACAATTTTTACATAAAAAATAAAGGTCCAAATTAGAAGCGAACAATACGTTTGAATTCTTTGTTGGGTGGTCTTCGGAAGTATTGTAGAAGTCCTAACATCTTATTTTTTTAGAAACTTTTAGTTCACAATAATTAGTTAAGAAAGAAAGTGACATGGCAACAAGTTAAACAGAGGGGAGGAAAGAGAGAAGGACGAAACAGCTTTTTTCAGCAGGAAAAAGGTAGAACCAAATTCATTAATTCGTAGAAATTTTGAGTGTTACCCATTTTCAAATTTATTTCTTCAAGATTGCGGAGTCAAACATAAGAAACAAAAAAATGGAGAAGAAATATCATCTTGCCATAGAATTTTTTGAGCGAAGAGTCGTATAATAGTAATCGCGTTTTCTCTACCATAATTGCTTCCATTTTTATATAATAGCATTCTACAGACTACAGTAAACTTATAAATCCAAAGGTAATGGAAGCGGATTGCCGGTTGACATCCGCAAATAGGACAATAAAAAATTGTTCAAAATAAAACTTTATTAGGTTTTTTTATGCCTCTTCATGTGACAAATCAATGAAAACAAATTTTTTCATTAGATCATTTTTTGCAACATGCGCTGTTGGCAAAAAGATTTGTTTTCTAGAAAAATAGAAGCTGATAAATGCATTTCATCCAAAGTTACTTGTCCTGGTAATGTCCTTAGCACTTAATGCATCCGAAAATCAGAAGTTCCAATCTAAGTTTTTTTTACGAAATGAAATAATTTGCCTTTCTAAGTGACAAAAACGATAATAAATCATCTGCATAAATAAAAATCTGGGTTTTTACCTATGATGAATCTTAACGTACTGTATCATATGTTATCTGAAGATTCTATGACGTCATCGAGTTGCAAATTATAAATTGCTGAGCTAAGCAGCAAGCAGTGACTGCGGCTGTGACTAGGGCTAGTTTTACTGTCGGCCGCTAGTTCCGACATCAAGTGAAAACGGCAAAATTGCGCCACTCCATCTTCGTTTTTTGACATATTTCCACAAGAGGAAGAAGTGTTTGAGAACATCTCCACATCTGATTTGGTAAACATTATGTTGGAATTGGAGGGGAAAAAAGTAAGTAAACTGAAAGGCTTTTAAGAAAGGTGAATATCGTGTTTTGGACAAAAAAAGCAAAAAGGGTTTCGTTTTTGAGACGGAAAAGACACAGAAATTGCGACGTTTTTTTAATCGACGTTTCATTTTGTGGAGATTTTTTAGGGATATGGTGGGGGGGGGATGAAAGGGGACTTTTTTGCATTTTCAACTAGCCACCTCGTGCCCCTGCTTATACGTCACTTTTCCTCGGAGATGTACGTGCGTGGGCATTATATACATTCGAAATTTGAATGAGCAGATAAATTTGGATTATGAGTGAAATAATCGGTTGACTAGACATAGTCAAAATTTTTGTTTTCTTACAGTCAGATTTTGAGTGAAGTTCATTTGGAAGATAGGCGTACACCAATTGTTCGCTTGTGTCCGAAGCATGATGAGTACAAAAGAGCTTTGGTGGAATTGCGACTATAGGATAGATCTTTCCAAGCCAGCCCTGTTTTGAGCTTTGTTATCAAACAGTGATACGACATTCCTGCAGTATTATTGTACGACTTAGACTTATGGTGATCAGTGCCCACCAATACAAAATTTTCGCAACTCGAAACTGAATAGAAACAGACCTATTTTTATGTATAGGTCTATGTATGCCTGTGCATAATTTGTGATTAGGACAAATAATCAATAATTATGAGATTGTGCAGTGGTGCTTGGTTGAGTAGTAAGCTACAGGGCATATAAACAGCAATGTCGGGAGCACCAGCATCTCCGTTTCGCCTGGACTCTGCATCTCTTTCGCTAACACGCTCTCTGATCATTTTTCCACCGTAAGCGTGAAGGCGAAAGTCAGTAGATTGGAAACAAACGAAGAGCATGCTAGCGAGAGAGGTGCAGAGTCTCGCGCGGGAGCAGAGGTGCTGGTGCACCAGACATTGCAATTGATAAGCCCCGTAGGTTGCGTCGATAAGCGGGAGAGCACATGGCATCGGAAAGATTCAAGTGACTGCCCCACCGAGCCGCGCAGGAGAAATAGTCCTAGAGATCATAAGTTAGGTTTTCACAGTTTCTTTGCACCGCCACTTTTTAAAAATTTCAAAACAGCTGCATATAATTTAAAGGCCCGTATTTGAAAGCCTCAAAAGATAGTACATTCAAGAAGCGAAATTATAAAGTAAAAACAAAACTTCACAGAAGCAGAGGAATGAAGAAATTACTATCCAGACAGTAGACCTCCTGAGTCAATTTTTTCTAGGATCTGCTTACATTTAATTTTTATTTTCTATTGAAAAGCACGGGGAGCGTTGTAGCGCTACAGTAGGATACGTTAGAAAAGATCTTCTACTTCTAGCTTTCTAAAAAATTTTTTTCTTTCTCGGTAAGAGTATGGCCCGCAAACCCATCGCCATCTGCTCTCTAAGCTGAAATTACGGCAGTAACGCACTATAATCCGTGCCATCTATATGCACACCACTCTGTACAAATGAAAAAGTGTCTTAAGGGAAAATTGCTGCTGGCGTTTTTGGTAGAGTAGATCACTGCATTTCAAGCAATACACCACGGTTCGAGACAGGCCAAGGACATTCCTTTCACTTTGCCAGGTTATTTGTAAAAGCCTCGCTATCAAAAATTGATGATAATTCTATCAAAAATTTCGCCTAGCTGACGGAAAATGAACAATGTAATAATATTTCAATGTTTTATCAATAAAATATTACGAGCGTTGCCGTTTGGACGATGAACCTTTCTAACCCTCCAGAAGAAAAGGTATCCCAACTTCTTATTTTCTACTATAAAGAGAGGCTTATCATAGCACTTCGATAGAAATCGCTTGAAAAATTGAATGTATTAAATACAGAGCGTTTTACCAGTCGGCAACAGTTATACATATTATACATTTGTAGTCCGCAACTGTTGCTTTTGCAGACATCTGGCAAACTGCCAGTTGGCGTCGCGATTGAAATCGGGTGAAGTACGCCCGAATGCTGCTTGATACCTCGGAAATATCACTGTGCCTTCAATCTCGATGCTTTCGAAAAATCGATGATAATCGCTATCAAAGATTTCGCCTAGCTAACGGAAAATTTGAACAATGTAATAATAATCCATTTATCAATAAAATATTACGATCGGTTGAAAATGAATAAAAGGGGCGTTTCTCATTTCGAGCATCACTTTTCAATTTCCTACTTTCTTGTTTGCGATCAAATGTTCAATACTCTTCAGTTTGATCCCGGCACCGCGTATTTTTGCGCGCTCTTGTACGCCAAAAGAACGCAAGCATGGGTGCCGCGTAAGTTGCTTATGGCATTTTTGTCTGCTATGCACTTCTGCACACATTATGTCAGCTTAACTCACGACTCACCTTCAACTTACGGATAGCGAGGTGAACTGAACGCGGCATGCTTGGACCGCCTTCTTACACTCAAACTTTATTTCCTAAGGCGCGATAGAGGGTAAGCGATTGCAAGTTTAACCTACAAACTTCCGAGGGGTCGGCTCAGCTTAACTGAGCGGACGGGGGGAAAGGGGACCTTACGGGCCTACGTCTTTTGATTGGTCGACGATGTTATACTGGCCCCAAAAATTCTCCTATTTTCAGATTACCATAAAAAACATGAAATAAAGATAGGCAGGCGCTTCGTAGAACGTTCGACAAAGCTTTACTTCTTCATTTCAGCATTTACGTTTTTGATCTGGTTGCTCTTGCGGTCACTAAGATAGCCAAAATTTTGCAACATGGCGTCCACGCTTGGCTAAAGCAATTCTTTGAAATTTTTGAAACTTTTGGAAGAGCTTCGATAACAGTAGATAAAGTATTTATAACACAATATAATGAATTTTTCTGGCATCTACAGCTGGCTGCGGTCTCAAAATCTCAGAAAATTCAAAATTAATTTTTCTATTCGGTTAAGCCAAATCTAAAACATCAACTGAAGAGCAAGGTGTCATTCGGAGCAGTTTCTTAATTCTTTCTGAAGCGCAATTTTCATTTTTAATTTGTGGTGCCTTCGCGGACGAAATTATTAGAATTGTAGATGTTTGCCATTGATTATACATTCTAGCAGATATAGAACCTTGACAAACACTAATTGACAATATTTGTAAAATGTATTTTGCTAAAAGAACAACAATGAAGTAACGAAAAATGTATGAAAGCTTACCTGTCAAAACGAACGAGAGTTTTTCTAGCGCTTTCAATGAGTGTAATGTAACTGTAAAGAGAATAGGAACGCTCGAGAACTTGAAAGCTCGAATGTTTTTCATTATAGAGCTGCGAATTGTGAGAAAAGCCGCCTTTCAAGGTTTCAAATTGGAACATACTTTGGAATGGAAGCGGTCACGCTAGATCGTTATCAAAAGGTTGTCAAAAAATTTCAAAAATGTATTTTGTCTGGAACGAAAAAGATTTGATGTATTCTACCCATTCACACATGTGAAACATGTGAAAAAAAAACTTAGGTCTACAAGGTAGTAATGAGGGCAAAACTCAGGAAAGTATTCAAAAGGTGTTTTAAAAAAATTCTAGTTACTACTCTTCAATGTTGATAGAAATAAGGTAGATTTTTTGGAGAAACTGAAAAGTTAATGTGGTGCAGGAGGAATTATAATACCTTATGAGTTTCTGCCTAACGCGGAAATGTCTAACAGTGTTTTGAGTTATCTACACATAAAACTGAAATAAAATTCTAAACCCATGAAAAGGAATAAATAATGTATGCTTTGAGGAGCCTGTTGTCGATAATAAATGCTGACATTTGAAAAAAATGAGAAATATTTGGTAGAGCCAATGCAGGTATGACTTGCTGATATATAATTGTTGACAAGACAATATTTCTACTAAATTTACTTTTATGACGTCATCCAGCACTTGCAAATAATAACTCATTTGGCTAAGCAGCAAGCAGATGGGGTGAGGATGTGTTTGGGATTAGTTTTACTATCAGACGTTGATTTCCATTTTCGTTCTTTGACATTTTTTCCTAATCTAGAAATGCATAGTTTTACCAAGCAGCTAGTAATTTGTATGCCCGCTGTATGGAACTGGTTGGTCAACTAGTTGGAATTAATTAAAAATGAAACAATACATTGGTAGCGTCAGCAAAGAATTTGTTTGAAGCAGCAGTCTTCAAGAAATATTGTAATTGCCAATTCAACGGTGAAGCTTTCAAATTCAAAAATTTACAAACATTTTTATACAAGACTAATCTAGAGTTCATTAAAATTTACTGAGCACAAATTACTATAAAAAACGAATGAATTGCATTATTCCCTAATCCAGGTAGATCGCTTCTATAGTTTCAGCTATCCATTCTTTAGAAGGTTAACAAGCAACACCAAGATGCAATAATAAATCAGGTGGTTAATCCCTATATTCACAAAATTTCCATGACACCGTATAGGATGCCTTAATCTAGAACTCTAAGGGCATGACATAAGGTAGTTTTCGCTATCTACTTTGAAGCTAGCGAAAATAAAAAGTTTAAATTCCGCCACCCTTACCCGAATAAGTCTAAAGTGATGAATTCTTGTGTAATTCAATGATGATATCATTTTTCCTGACTTCAAAAACGATGCTTGTTTGACTTCAACTATTGCTTTTTCTGTACATTTTCACAATACTTTCAATTTCTCCGGTTAGTAAATTGATATATTTCAAACTTCTTGCTGAACATTCTCTATGAAAAATGAACAGGCTAGAAATAACAAAGTGAGGTAATGCAACAGAAGCTGATTCATTTTTCCATTTCATCGGCCAATTTATTTTTGCATGTAAATCAATCCATATAAAGATGAGAGAACCCCTTGAAAACTACCCTTCCTCTTATCCGCTTGATTCTTTCAACTATTAGGTTGCTACATAAGTCTTGTTACACTTTAAATTCTTATGACGAAAGTCGTAAACTTCATGATTTTGAAAGGGCTCCAGGTACCATTTGATAAAGCAAAGCAAGCTCTACAAGATGGTATGCAAAAGTTCGCACCAGCTTCGACCCACTATAAGTTTGCATCCGGAATCTGAGGGGAACTGAAGGCTCAAAAACTTGAGGGGAATTCATATCTTTGTTTAGAAAAGTCCTACGAATTTTTAACCTGCTCATACAGATTGCACATTAAATCAGACACTCATATGTACCGTGCTGTAATTTTTCCTCATCTAGAACCCTTAGAAGCAAAGTCGTAAATTTTCTTGCTTTTCTTACAAGCCCTAATTGTCAAAAAATACGAATTTAGCTTCTCTCACTCAGGTGCTCAATGATAAATTTGGTATTTTTCGAAAACTAGGGTTCATAGAAATCTGAAAGTTTACGATTATACTTCTAAGGGCTTGTAGTGTACAACTGCATGAATAAAAGCAGCATAGCTTCGTTTTTGTAGAAACAAGAAAATTCCCGTTTTATTTTTGATTTCTAGATAAAGAAAAGTATAGCAACGGTACATATGAGTGTCTAATGTGGTGTACAATCGGTGTGAACAAGTTGGAGATGCAGAGGATTTTTTTGAACGAAGATGTGAATATTTTCCAATTTTTTGGGCCTTCAATGCTACTCACATTCCGGATGCGAAATGACGGTGAGCCAAAGCTAGTGCGAATTTTTGCACAACATCTTCTAGAGCTTGCTTTGCTCTACGGACGGTACCCTAGATCCCTATTAAAATTATGAAGTTTACGACTTATTGTTGTAAGAAATCAAAGTGTAACAAAATTATGTAACACCTAATATATCACAAATTCACGTTCTATTTTATGTATACACAATCTGCCAAGAGCAACGATGAAATTTTTTCTGCTCCTGAGTATTTTCGGAATCGCAGCTCTGGGATGGAGAGGACGGAAAACTGGATTTGGTACTACTCATTCAGGGCATTGGCAAGATGTTGTTCCGGATAAAACGTGGGATCAAGTTGTAAGGTATTACTACAACGTAAAAATGCTCTTTTCAGGAAATATTATATACCTAAAAAAGAAAAAGGGAAATGCACTTGCGTGCTGCACGTCCACACTTGGCCTCCTATGAAATTTTCCAAAGCTCTGATTCGAAGGGAGTGCATAAATGAATGCGAGATCTATGAGGAAGGATTCCGTGACGGTCAAAAAAGTAAAAAAACATGATGGATGACATGGAAGAAGTATGACAGCTTCACTACATCCTCCACTACAACTGCATCATAATTTCGTTTGTGTAAGATGTCGCAGCTTTCAAATCTTGTTCTTCTCAAATCGCATAGTCTAGTTCTTGTTTTTCATAACAGTTTTACCAAACACTCTGTTTAGAAGAACTATGTGGGTATGTGGTCTATGAACTGAAGGTTGTTTACCTTTTCTTGGGAAAAAAATGCTGTCATTACATCAATATCATGCCAGTTTCACAGATAAACATAGTTTAGTGAACAAAGCTCCATCACTCCAACATGCAAAAGACCTAAAGTGCTTTAGTGATAAAAAGTACCGGGTAAAGCTTACGTCGGTATAGAAGGTAAAACTCGCTACGGGTCTCTAAAAAAACTGCCCATTACTACTTTGAAAACAAGAACCCGTGCTTGACTCGCTTAAGTGCTTTCTTGAGATGAGAGTCTTCAGATAATCAAATAATCAAAAACGCGAACCAATTGCGAATCAATTAAAGCAGGGGTTTTCGTTATTGTGGGCGAAATAATACAAAATTGCGACGTATTTTCAGTCGACGGTTCGGTTTTTTGGAGATTTTTTAGGATTACGGTTTAGGGTCAAAGGGGATTTCGTAAAATTTTGGGCAAGTCAAGGGAGACTTCTTTTTTTGCATTTTCCAACTGCCACCTTATGTCGAGCTTTGTTATTGACCAAATTAGCATGTCAGCGAATTGTATCAGAATAGGGCTTTTCAAATCTGTAACTGTTATGACAACAGCCAGGTGCCGTTTGGGCTGGCGCCCTGTATCCAATATGGAGAATGAGAATGCTACTTCAACAGAAAGTCAAAGACAATATAATACAGTGGGAATGATGCTTAGATACGATCAGTACTCGCTATTCATACCTCATTAATGTACCGCTTAGCATTAACTTGAAGGGCCAAACACCTTCACGCAATTTCGGCCGCAATGCGATTGGCAATTTGCCGGAAGTCTTCAAATCCAACACTAACAAACTGCACATGCATGGTGTGTATAACTTACGTGGATTGATAAAAATAAAATGCCCTATCTTCTCTACATTTGAAATATGCTTACAATGAGTCATGGACAGTTGGAATATTGCCAAATCGCGTGAAGTATGCCCGAACCTTAACCCAGTGATCAATATCCTAGGGCTGGGAAGGATCTGAATGGTGTTGGCTTACTTTGCGCTTCTGTCCGCAAGCTAAAATTTGCTGGTTATGGTATTTTAAGGTTTTTATTTTTGAGTTGACTTGATGTGCGCAAGAAGATTCTATGACGTCATCGAGTTGCAAATTATAAATTGCTGAGCTAAGCAACAAGCAGTGACTGCGGCTGTGACTAGGGCTAGTTTTACTGTCGGCCGCTAGTTCCGACAACAAGTGAAAACGGCAAAATTGCGCCACTCCATCTTCGTTTTTTGACATATTTTCACAAGAGGAAGAAGTGTTTGAGAACATCTCCACAGCTGATTTGGTAAACATTATGTTGGAATTGGAGGGGAAAAAAGTAAGTAAACTGAAAGGCTTTTAAGCAAGCTGAATATCGTGTTTTGGACAAAAAAGCAAAGAGGGTTTCGTTTTTGAGACGGAAAAGACACAAAAATTGCGACGTTTTTTTAGTCGACGCTTCATTTTCTGGAGATTTTTTAGGGATATGGTGGGGGGAGGGAATGAAAGGGGACTTTGTTTTTTGCATTTTCAACCAGCCACCTCGTGCTGAGCCCTGCTTATACGTCACTTTTTCGCGGAGATGTGCGCGCGTTGACATTATATACTTTCGATATTTGAATGAGCAGATAAATTTGGAGTCAAATAATCAGTTGAATGGACATAGTCGAAATTTTGATTTTCTTACAGTCAGATTTTGAGTGAAGTTCATTCGGAAGATTTAGTCGTACATCAATCGTTCGCTTGTGCCCGAAGCATGAGCACAAAAGTGCTTTGGTGGAATTTACGACTATAGAATAGATCTCTCCAAGCCAGCCCTGTTTTGAGCTTTGTTATAGAATAGTGTTATGACAGTTACTACAGTAGTACTGTATAACTTACGATTAGACTCATGGTGGATCAGTCTTCACCAATATAAAATTTTCGCAACTCAAACTTATGAATAGAAACAGACTTATCCCTGTGTATAAGTCTCTATGTATGCATGTGCATTATTTGTGATTAGGATAAATAATCAATAATTATGAGATTGTGCAGTCACGCTCGGTTGAGTAGTAAGCTATAGGGCTTATCAACAGCAGTGTCGGGAACATCAGCATCTCCGCTCCCGCGCGGCCGCTTCGCCTGGGCTGTGCATCTCTTTCACTAACATGCTCTCTGGTCACTTATCCACCGCGGTCTAGGAGAGGCGGAGCCTCAGTTGCTTGGATATGATTAGAGAGCACGCTCGCGGAAGAGGTGCAGAGTCCCGCGAGGGAGTGGAGATGCTGGTGCACCAGACATTGCAGCTGATAATCTTTATAGGCTGCGTCGATACGCGGGGAGAGACATGCATCGGAAAGATCAATTGCCTGGGGCCCGCAGAGCCGCACAGAAGAAATAGTTTCTTATAAGTTTGGCTTTTACAGTTTCCTTTCCTCTGCCACTGCTTTGAGAATTTCAAAAGATTCGCTCACAATCGTATTAAAGGCCCATATTTGAAGGCTTGTCTAAAGATTCTACACTCAAGAAGCGGAGTTATAGAAATGAAAATAAATAAAACTTCAAAGAAACAGAGGAAGAAGAATTATTACCTAGACCGTGGACCTCCGGAGTCAATTTTTCCTTACATTTCCCAACTTCTGATTTTCTACTGAAAAGCACGAGGGGAGTTGTAGCGCTACAGTAGGAGTACGTTAAAAAAAGATCTTCTACTTCTAGCTTTCCTAAAGATTATTTTTCTTTGCGCTTGGTAAGAGTATGGCCCGCATCAGTGGCTGTGCGGAACTAAGTTGAGGTTAGGCAGTATAATCCGTGTATCCCTCGGTGCAAACCGTTTTGCAGAAATGAAAGAAGTGTGTGTGCCTTGCTGCTGGCGTTTTTAGTCGAGTGGGTAAATCACTGCGCTTTAAGCACACTACGATACGAGACAGCCTCAAAGACACAATTCGTAAAAGCCTCGCCATCAAAAAATCGATGAGAAAGCCATCAAAAATTTCGTAAAATTTTTGACGGAAAATCAACAATGTAATAACGATTCAATGTTTTATAAATAAAATATTACGAGCGTTGCCGTTTGAACGATGAACCTTTCTAACCTCCCATAAGAAAACTGTCACAACTGTCACAACTATTCTCTACTAGAAGGAGATTATCGTAGCGCTTTGGTAGGAGTTCCCTTAGGAAATCTCCTATTTCTCACCTCCCAGAAAATTGCTTTTCTACAGAGCTTCGTAAGAGTATGGTCCGCAAACTCACCCTCAACGCAAATCCGCCACGTGGGGCAGTTAACTCCGCTTTCAGTCGCGACGCTCTTTGGAAAACTACAGCTTTTTCAAGTCATCGTAAGCGCATTCTGAATGTACCGAAGACAGCGCATTTTATCAGTCTGCAACAGTATACAACACATTTGTAGCTTCTGCAAGTATTGCTTTTGCAGACATCTGGCAAACTGCCAGATGGCGTCGCGACTGAAATAGTGTGAGGGTACCCGAATGCTTGAAACCTTCGCAGTATCACTGTGCCTTTAATCACAATGCGAACAATTTGTGGCAGGGCCACTATCGAAAAATCAATGATGATCGCTACGAAAGATTTCGCCCAGCTAGCGAAAAAATTGAACAATGTAATAATAATTCATTGTTTTATCAATAAGATATTACGATCGGTTGAAAATGAATAAAAGGGGTGATTCTCACCTCGAGCATCACTTTTCAATTTCCTACTCCCCTGTTTGCATCAGGTATTCATTACTCTTCAGTTTGATCTCGGCACCGCGTATTTTTGCGCGCTCTTGTACGCCAAAAGAACGCAAGCATAGGTGCCGCTTGTCCCTTATGCGCTTCTGCACACATTTCGTCAGCTTAACTTACGATTCACCTTCAACTTACGAATAGCGAGGTGAACTGAACGCGGCATGCTCGGATTGCCTTCTTACACTCAAACTTTACTTCCCAAGGCGCGATAGAGGGTAAGCAATTGCAAGTTCAACCTACGGAGTTCTTCTGAGGAGTCGGCTCAGTTTAACTGAGCTTATGGGGGGGGGGGGGGAGGAGGGGAGGGATATCGTTCCCATGGGCTTATGTCTTTTGATTAGTCGACGATGTTATACTGGTGCCCCCAAAACTTTTTTTTTCAAATTACCATGAGAAACATGAAATGAAGATAGGCAGGCGCTTCGTTAAACGTTCGACAAAGCTTTTCTTCTTCATTTCAGCATACGGTTTTTGATTTGGTTGCTCTTGCGCTCATTAGGATTGCCAAAATTTTAAAGCATGGCCTCTATGCGTGGCTTAAGCAAACTCTCGGAATTTTTTGAAACTCTCGGAAGAGCTTCGATAACACGTGGATAGAGGAAACAAAATAGGATACAAAAAAATTTTCCTGCATTTCGCTGGCTCCAGTTTTGCGCAATTTTCCTTCTTTGTGTTACCGTCGCGAGGAAATTATTGGAATTGTAAATGTGACGTGCCAGTGATTGCACACACTGGCAGATATAGAATTTTGATAAGAGATAATTGACGATATTTCTCGTAAGCAGTATTTTGTTGAAAAAATAACTATGAAATAGCGGATGTATGAAAATGTATCTATTAAAACGAAGTAGAGTTTTTCTAAAGCTTTTAGTGTGTGTAATAAAAAGAACAGGAATACTCGAGAACTTGAAAGTTCGAAAGTTTTCCACTAATACTATTAGTTCGTAAAGTTGTGAACTTGAAAAAAAGCGTTTTATTTAAATTTGGAACATATTTTGAAGTGAATGCAAGCAGCCATGCTAGATTGCTATCAAAATTGTCAGAGTATGGTAAACTTACCTTCAAATGTAAATCTATTCACACAAAGGAGAAAGAACCTCCTAGAAATTATCCTTTTTCTTATCCGCTTGATTTTTCTATACTAAATCAAAAAGTCATGTTCTATTGCAGGGACACGTACTTTGCCGAAAACTACGATGAAACTCTTTCTGCTGTTGGTTATTTTCGGAATGTGCGCAGCTCCGAATCCTTTTGGTAGAAAGAGCATAAGACGACGTACTACTACCCATGAACCACTTACTCCTTGGTGGGATCAAGTTGTAAGGCACAAATCGAAAGTAAAATAGCTTTTTTTAGGTGGTGTTATAGGTGTGACAAAGGGCTTTGCAAAAGGGCCCTCTCTACTAAAAGTCCCACTGAGTGTCCTGACTCTCTTCCTTTCATCAGCAAAATATATCGTGATTTAGAAACTTGCTTGGATGAATGCGTTCCTTTTAACCGTCGCACGGACCGTACGTATGTATGTGACCACAAGTCTGGACGTTGCCTGAATGTAAGACACACAACAATACAATTCGCAGAAGAAAAAAAATACCGCAGTGAGCAAGAATGCAAGAGGATATGCGAGCGCAAGCCTCATTAGTAAACATCTCTTTCTCTATCTTCACTACATACGCTTGATGACTTAATTTGTTTAAGTGTTGTCATGGCCATCAAATTAAATCCTTCTCAAATTTAATTTTCATACCTATTTGTATTGTTTTCAATAAACACTGAGGCAAAAAACAAAGCGATTGTTGCTTCTAGCTTGTCCTAAATGTTGTTCTATGACCGTGCAAAGAGTGGCTGCCAGTACTGGCTATAAGTGAAATATTGGTTTATTACGGCTCCCTCTTCAACTAATGGCTGTGAAACAATCGGAAAGTTGTTATAATGGCTGTGGAACAATACGACGTTCAAATAATAGCAATACTTCCAGGGAGTGAATATATGTATTCGGCGTTCTAAATCTTGGAGCTACAAGCCGCTCTCGCAGAATTTAAGAATAGAAGTCGAGTAATTTATTCGAACATTTTATTCGACTACTTGATAATGACTTAGCTCCGAATACTTAGGTCCTTATTTTTATGCAAATCTTGACTAAACCAGCTTTCTCAGCCAGCTTCAATGAATTCATTTCCTCGAAATCTCAACGGCTTTTTATTCGACTACTTGATAATGACTTAGCTCCGAATACTTAGGTCCTTATTTTTTATGCAAATCTTGACTAAACCAGCTTTCTCAGCCAGCTTCAATGAATTCATTTCCTCGAAATCTCAACGGCTAAGGCAACGCTGATGGCGCCGTCTCAATTACATAGCGCCATCATTAAATCTGAAATGGCGGGAAATGCTGCCCTACAAGGTTAAAACATAGATTAAATGGGATGAAATCGTAGATAGATACGACCAGCGCAAACATCTTAATGGCACTAAATTTTGTGACATAATACTTTGAAAATTTCCCCGCGAAAAAACTTCGAGATCTTTCCTACAATCACAATGAGCACCCGCATGGTAGCAAACAAATTCAACAAACCAAGGACTCAAGAGCTTAGCGCTTGAGCAATGGCCTGCTCAAGTAATTGCCTATTTACCAAATTTCCGGCTTATTAATGCAAATTCTTGATGGCCAATTTCCTTACCTACTAAGGGTGACCTGGTTTTAACTACGCCTATGTTTCCTTTAGCGTCCTCCTCTTAACCTAACACCCTCAGTCAAAAATCTTACTCTTAATGTGAAAAGACCAAGTTGAGCTCTTTGGGCTCCCTTCTAGTAGGTTGTTTCAAAAGTAAACCGTATTTCTAATAAGATCAAGCCATTTTTGTTTTCCTAGCAGATTTGCGGTACCATTTGATAGAACAAGGCAAGCTCTACAAAATGACCTTTGAAGAACCACCTAAGTCCTAATGAAGATAAAGGAGACAAAATTGAAAAGAACTTTTTCACCCAAAAAACTGGATTTTTGCAAAAAAAATTTTACGGTCTTCTAGCCTGGTCTTTATACAGAATATACAGTCGCTTCATTTCATATGATCATGTGTGCCATTGCACACACACTCTACTTTGGCGTCCTCATCCTGGATTTGCAATCGCAAAAACGCAAGAGAGTTACCGATTGTTATCGATTACATTAATTTGAGGTGAATAGCGACTAAGAAGGAAAGAAAATGCTAAGAACACCTTGGAAACACTCACCTGAAGGCTTGTCTCTCCCACGAATCCAGGATGGGGACGCCAAAAGTGAACTGTGTGTGCAATGACAGATATGATCATATGAAATGAAGCGAATGTACATGGTAGTACTCAAATATTCCTTTACTGAATGTTTTTCGCGCACGGAAACGAAAAAAAAATTCCGCCCCCAGCTCCTTCCACATACGTCGTTCGTACAATAGAAGCCTTAAAAGATATGACCTTGAAATATTGTCTCTGTAGGCACCGATAATCGAGAAAATACCAAACATTAAGAAAACCGAAAAAATGACAATTTTGCATTTTTGGACCGTACTATATTCCCAATTTTGAGCCCAGGAAAAAATTCACCAAATAAATTTTTGGGTACTGCTATGTGTCTACCGTATGACGACCAGGTTGAAGGCCCATAGGAAACTTTTAAAGAATAGAGATTCAATTTTTAGAATAGTTAATTTTGATTTTTGGCTCCACATTTTACATGGAATATGACTTAGGTAAGTGTTTGATGGTCATTATGTCTTCCATAACTCGAATGATACCCCATGGCTAGTAAAACAAAAACGATTTGAATTATTTATAAATGGTTTTCGACTTTCGTAAATCGAGTTCAAAATGTGAGGTCATTCACCAAATTTTCTGCTATTCATATTTTTGTTTCGCGCAGTGGATAAGAATAAAAAGATTTGGAGAAACGTTTATAAACCAAGAGGTGAAAGGAGCGATACGAAAGTTTGATAAAATATGACTGTAGATTTTAGCATTTGGAACGATCCACAATGACTGAATGCCCTGTACCAAGAAAAAGTTTGGGATGAGATGTCTGTTGGACCCAAATTTTGATAGAAGCAGAATTGTTCTAGTAAAAACGCTAAGAAAACGTACACAGAGCCGCGCCCCTGTCTTCTCAGAACAATTCAACATAAAAAGTGAAATAACGATAAACTTCAGGAATTGGAGAATGCTGCTCATCAAGGAAGGGTCAGCCGAAGTTTTGTTGGCTTTACAGTAAAAAATATTTTGAGCAACATGAACGCCTAATTGGTTGATTGGTTATGGTAAGATAGTCTAGCTTACGGTAGCAAAATGCACCAATAAGGACATGACGAATGAGATAAAATGTGGTGCATCAAATGGATACAGTAAGCTGGAGCTGATTGAATAGATTCAGAGATTAAAGACCATATCAAAAATAAGCCATATCGAAAAATCAATAATATTGAAAATTTCGCCTAGCTGACGGAAAAATTGAACAATGTAATAAAATTCAATGTTTCATTATCAAAATATCAAGATCTTCTTAACCTCCCATAAGAAAACGTATCCCAACGTCCTATTTTTCTATCAAAAAGACAGAGTTATCATAACGCTTTGGTAGTCTCTCAAGAAATCTCCTATTTCTCACCTCCCAGAAAATTGCTTTTCTACGAGCTTCGTGAAAGTATGGTCCGCAAACTCACCTCAACGCAAATCCGCCAGGTGGGGCAGTTAAAGTTACGGCCACTTTCAGTCGCGACGCTTTGAAAAACTACGGCATTTTTAACTCATCGTAAGCGCATTCTGAATGTACTGACAAGGGAATGATCAAAAATCGAAGTAGCCAAACCAGACAAGCTACACACCGTACACCGTTGGATGCAGCATGAAGCGCTGAGTCCAAATCTGTCTTCCTTATCTGCTTATCGCTTTTCTGAACGAAGCTATATGTTATCAAAAGCCATTATTTTGCTAAGAAAATATGCGTGGAAGAAAAAATTTGGCCGTAGAGAGCCATGTTCGGCTTAATGCTGGGCCTAAACATACAGCTTACTTACTTTGAATTCTTAAAGCTTAAAGCTGAGCTGAAAGTGCAATAGTGTGCTCAATCTCGCAGTTTTTATGCACGATCTAATCACAGTAAAACTGCTTGTAGCTTCGTCCACAGAAACGAGAAGCAGATAAGAAAGACAGATTTGAAGTCAGCGTTTTATACTGCATTGAATGGTACACAGCTTGTTTGGTTTGGCCACTTCGACTTCTGACCATTCCCTTGTGAGCAAAGCGCATTTTATCAGTCTGCAACAGTTACACATATTAAGCACTAGCTGGCATACCGGGCTCCGCCCGGCCCTGTCAATACACTTTAATGATTGCCATTTCCAATTTTTTGCACATTTCGGTCCCTGTCCTCACTCTTTACTATGTTTCTATAATAGCATATCCTAACCCCCTGGTACCACCCCCCCCCCTAACCCTGTGGCTCAGACTTCGCAAAAAGTTGATAAAATCGATAAAGAAGGCCAACGATTCAAAAACTAATCCTGTATTCGTAATCAGCATGCTCAATTACCCCCTGTGCTGCCAATTCCCAGCCCGTAGCTTAAAGTTTGCAAATTATCAAGAAATCGATAAAAGTAATGAATAGCCTAAAAACATATTTTATTCGTAATCAGCATGCTCAATTATTCCCCCCCCCTCCCCCAACCCTGTGCCACCTCCCAGTCCCGTAATTTAAAGTTCCCAAAAATCTATAAAATCGATATCGATCGACAACGAAAAGAGCCTGACATCCGCCCCGCCCCGAAGTGTATTTGTGTAATCGTAGTAACCGTGAAAGAAGAGACAGACAAAAAAGAGAAAGAATTATCTTTAACATCTTGCTAAATCAAATGTAAGCAACTTCATAAACTTACAGAGCAAGTTGTATTGTGGTTTGACATGCAAAGGAGGATGAGTAGCATAATGACTCGGATGATAATGAGTTTCATTTTTTGCTGCTATGCTGCTAAGCCTCTACTCGCTCTGCTTCCATTGCCTGAAGCTGATTTCGAACAGTGGGACATCTTTTGATTTGGAGATATTTCTTTCCCACTATGATTAAGCATAGATGTTTACATCATTTGAAACCGGCGCTTAAATTCTCTCAAGACCTTTTGACAATGCAAAATATTCTTGCCCATTCTCATGAGTCTCGATCCTATTATTGTGCAAAGTATACAGTATACACATGAAAGAGTATTGATCGTAACTGTAAATGGAGCATTCCTTTGCAAGAAACACTCATTAAGGTACACTGTTGATTACTTGCGCGCATTAAACTTGATCGCAGCATAAAATATAATGTTCATGGGCATAAAATCAAAACTTACAATCAAGAACACTTTTCACTGCACCTCACCAACGAGGTTCAAAATAAGACATGCCGGTCTACAGTTGTCGGTTTACATATTTCTGCAGAGTTGGTTTGATAGCAAATGATATGAGCTCATTACAATTGCAAAGTGCTAAAAATTGATAAATCGATAAAATGACCCAGCGAATATTGGTAAAAAGTATCCTAAGACCGTCTCCGGGGTCGAAAACATCTGTGTGCAAAGTTTCAGCCCAATCGGTTGAGCGACGCGCGTTCCTATATTCACATAGATACCCTCTAAACAGACAATTTTTGAGTTTTATATTAGGTTGGTCCGAAAGTTCTTGCGCATCACTTTCAAAAAATCATAACTTCCTTGCCACTCGATGGATTTCGTTGAAATTGCACCTGTTCGAAAGAGGAATCCATGCTCCTTACAGCAGTGCCTTCGACATTAATTACTTTGAAAAACTTTGAGAGTTACAAGCAGTTGAATAAAATCAGTCAAAATTGACATTTTTCGAGCTGGGTCACGAAAAATTCTGGAAGTATTTTCATATGATAGAGAAAATTATGCTCATTACAATGGTACCATTCCCATGTTTTAAAACGAAAAAGATCGAGAGTTAGAAGCAAATAAAGGGAATTTTTTCAGTTCTGCAATTTTTAAGCATGCTCAGAAAAGCCTGGAGATGTCACAGAAATTACAGGAATGTCATGGACATAGGTTTTGTGACCTTCTCTTTCTAGCTGAGTAAGTTTCGAGCTAATCGAGAGCAATTTTGTTTTTCGTGATTTTTTCGGATTTTCATGCCTGCATTTTTCACGAAAATCAAAAATGCTCTCGATTAGCACGATTTCCACTCAACTAGAAAGAGAAGGTCACAAAACCCATGTTCACGACTTTTCCGTATTTTCTGTGACGTTTCTGGGTTTTTTTGAGCATGCTCAAAAATTGCAAAACTGAAGGAATTCTCTTCATTTGCTTCTAACTCTCGATCTTTTTCGTTTTAACTCATGGGAAAGGCACCATTGTAATGAGCATAATTTTCTCTATCATATGAAAATACTTCCAGAATTTTTCGTGACTCAGCTCGAAAAATGTCAATTTTGACTGATTTTGTTCAACTGCTTGTAACTCTCAAAGTTTTTCAAAGTAATTAATGTCGAAGGCACTGCTGTAAGGAGCATGGATTCCTCTTTCGAATAGGTGCAATTTCAACGAAATCCATCGAGTGGCAAGGAAGTTATGATTTTTTGAAAGTGATGCGCAAGAACTTTCGGACCAACCTAATATATATAGAGATTTGTAGTCTGCAAGTATTGCTTTTGCAGATATCCGGCGAACTGCCAGATGGCGTCGCGGCTGAAGTCGGGTGAAGTATGCCCGAATGCTTGAGAACTCCAGTATCACTGTGCCTTTGATCACAATGCGGACGATTTGTGGCAGGGCCACTATCGAAAAATCGATGATGATCGCTATCAAAGATTTCGCCTAGCTAACGGAAAAATTGAACAATGTAATAATAATTCATTGTTTTATCAATAAGAATTCACGCTCGGTTGAAAATGAATAAAAGGGGGTGATTCTCACCTCAAGCACCAATTTTCATTTTCCTAGTCTCTTGTTGGCGATCAGGTATTCATTACTCTTCAGTTTGAGCCCCGGCATCGCGTATTTTTGCGAGCTCATGTACATACGAGCCAAAAAAAACGCAAGCACGGGTGCCGGTAAGTTGCTTATTGAATTTTTGTCTGCTATGCACCTCTGCACACACTTCGTCGGCTTAACTTACGAGTCACCTTCAACTTACGGATAGCGAGGTGAACTGAACGCGGCATGCCCGGACAGTCTTCTTACATTCAAACTTGACTTATTAAGATGTGAGAGAGGGCAAGTGACTGGAAGTTCGACGTATGAAGTTCTTCTGAGAGGTCGGCTCTGTTTAACTGAGCCTCTGGGGGGGGGGAGGGGGATATGGTTCCTACGGGCCTATGTCTTTTGATTGGTTGAGGTGTTATACTAGGTTGTCCCAAAACTTTTCGTTTTTTCAAGTTACCATAAAAAAACATGGAATGAGGACAGGCAGGCGCTTCGTAAATCGTTCGACAAAGCTTTTATTCTTCATTTCAACATTTAGCGGTCACTAGGATTGCCAAAATTTTGCAACATGGCGTACATGCCTGGCTAAGGCCTCGGACATAGTTCACGCGATTTGATCGTCGCTATTAAATCGTCGCGATTTCCATTCATTTTCATTTGACATTCAAAAATTTCGGGCTGGAAAAGCAGCACAACCGAAATGCAAGCTGGTCGGCATGCAGTGAACTCGTAACAGTTGTCTTGCCGCGATTGAATCGCGACGATCAAATCGCGTGAACTCTGCCAGAGGCCTAAAGCAAATTCTTAGAAATTCTCAGAATTTCTAGAAGAACTTCGAAACACGTGTATAGTAATTATAATACAAAACAATGGATTTTTCCGGCATCTCGAGCTGGCTACAGTCCCAAAGTCCTCAGAAAACTTGAATGTTGATAAGTTCTATATTCGTTCAAGCCAAAGCTAAAACATCAACTAAAGAGCAAGGTGTCATTTGGAGCAGTTTCTTCTCTCTTTCTAGAGCGCAATTTTTCTTCCCGATTTGTGGTACCTTGGGGGAGGAAATTATTAGAATTGTAGATGATTAAATGTGCCAGTGATTGTACATATTTGCAGAATAGAACTTTGATAAAAATAATTGACGATATTTTTCGTAAAAAGTATTTCGTTCAAAAAGAATAGCTATGAAATAAAAAAATGTATGAAAGTCTATCTATCAAAAGGAATGAGAGAGTTCCTCTAGCGCTTTTAATGAGTATAACTGTAAAGGGAACAGGAACAATCGAGAAGTTGAAAGTTTGAAAGTTTTCCATTAGAACTATAAATTCGCAGAGCTGCAAACTGTGAGAAAAGGCACTTTTCGATTGAATTCAGAGCATATTTTGAAGTTAATGCAAGCAGTCACGCTAGATTGTTATCAAAAGGTTGTCAGAGATTTTTTGAAATGAATTTTGACTGAAACTATGAGAAAGATTTGCTGTATTCCAGCTTTTTGGCTAATTTCCTCTTTATTTTTTTTGCTTACAAGGAATGCTTGTTTAGTCGAAGTGGCCTTTTTTATAAGATGTACACCATATTGTAGAGCATAAATTGCTGATTCCAAATCTGCTTTCCGTATCTGCGGAACATTTATGGACGAGAAGTTATGAGCGTTTTTGGAGTCAAAAATTGAATGTGCAAGTGTGACAAAAATAACCGTAATATTTTTTCTAGCTCTTCAACGGAGCAGTGATAATCACCAAAACACTTCACTTGAAAATTACTCTGAAATAAAAATTATACCACACTTGGTTACGTTATTTGAAGGCTAGTAAGATTTTAACAACTCATTTCATTCAAAATGCACATTCAATTTTTGGCCCCAAAAAACGCTCATAACTTCTCGTCCATAAACGTTCTGCAGATAAGGAAGACAGTTTTGGAATCACCGTTTTATGCGCTTCAATATGGTATACATCTCATTTGGAAAGGCCACTTCGACTAAACAAGCTTCCCTTGTTAGTGTAACAACAGGAACGTCAATACAGAGATCTTGAACACTCAGTTTGATAAGGGCAAAAAAAACTCAGAACAGTGTTCAAGAGGTGTTTCAAAAAATTCTAGTCACTACTCCTCAATGTTGATAAAAATAAGGTAGATTTTTAGAGAAACTGAAAAGTTAATGCGATGCGGGAGGAACTACTTTATGAGTTTTTAGCCTAAAGCGAAAATGTCTAATAGCGTTTTGAGTTATCTACACATAAAACTGAAATAAAATTCTAAACCCATGAAAAGGAAAAGATAATGTATGCATTGGGGAGCCTGATGTCGATAATAAACGCTGACATTTGAAAAAAATCAGAAATATTCGGTAGAAGCAATGCAGGTATGACTTGCTGATATATAATTGTTGACAAGACAATATTTTTACTAAGTTTACTTTTATGACGTCATTCAACAATTGCAAATAATAACTCATATGGCTAAGCAGCAAGCAGATGGGCTGAGGATGTGTTTGGGATTAATTTTACTATCAGATGCTGATTTCCATTTTCGTTTTTTGACATTATTTCCTAATTTAGAAATGCGTAGTTTTACCAAGCAGCTAGTAATTCGTATGTCCGCTGTCATGGAAATGGTAGATCAACTAGTTGGAATTATTCAAAAACCATGACTTATGATAAAGCGCGTGTCTGTCTGTGTGTGTGTCTTTACAATACCGCTCATAATTCGTCAAAAAAGTCGCCGGACTGCGGCGCACTCCGCCACACTCCGGCGCACTGTGGCGGAGTGTGGCAGAGTGCGCCGGAGTGCGGCAGAGTGCGCCGCAGTCCGGCGACTTTTTTGACGAATTATGAGCGGTATTGTATGTCTGTCTGTCACGAAATTCATAGAGCGTTTATAAGCAAGGTTTTGAGCTGAAATTTTGGCCATGGCCCCCCTACCAGCGTTTAGGTAAAAAGTGCAAAAGCACAAGCTGATCCGATATTTGGAAACTTTAGAAACTGTGGGTCAAACGGGCCCACGCGGCTTTTGGCACGCAAAATTAGGTCATTAATTCGACTTTTTGCGAAGTCATGATTTGCCTGACAAGTACATCTGCGCCTCATGAATTCTAGCCCAAAAAGTGCTCAAAAACTTTGCTTTTCTGCGACAACAACGCCAAGAAGTGGTGGTCGCTTAGACAGTCGATTTGGCAAGGTTTTACCTTTAGACTTGGGAAGTTTTTTGCACGAAAATTTAGCTAAAAGTGACTATTATCCTTATGACGACCACCAAGCCAAAACAAATTCAGTAATCTAATCAAATTCGCAGGTGTTCCTTTGCGACAAGTTTTTTTCTCTCAAAATTACCGATCTTACGTGGGATGCCTCAAAATGAACAGTTGTTTACTATTTATTTGAAATGTTCAGCATCGCATGGTGGGTTTCAAAGTCATCATTATGCGACCATGAGAAAGGCAAATGGATAGGAGAGCCAGGAGAGCCAGTGCGAACCTGGTGACGCACTGGTGATACAATATATTGGTAGCGTCAGCAAAGAATTTATTTGAAGCAGCAGTCAAGAAATATTGTAATTGCCAATTCAACGGTGAAGCCTTCAAATTCAAAAATTTACAAACATTTTTATACAAGACTAGTCTGAACTTTTCAATAAAATTTATTGAGCACAAATTACTATAAAAAACGAATGACTTGCATTGTTTTCTAGTCCAGGTAGATCGCTTCTATAATTTTATTAGGTTGGTGCAAAAGTAATGCGCGTTTTTCTAGCCCTTATTTCAAGACAGCTTTTCTCCATCGAAGTTTTTCCTATGAAACTTACACAGCATACTTTAAAGAAGCTTCTTTCATGCTCTATTCAATGGTGGTTGAAAGAAGCTTCTAGCCTCAATCGTTAGAAATTTATAGAGCTTCATACAACCGCACTCGAAATCAGAATTTCATTTCATTTACTTTTCTGGCCAGAATTTGAGCGTGAGTAAACGCATTCTTTTGAAAATTTAACTACTGTATGTAGTAGAAATTTTCTACTTTATGCATGTTTTGCTGTTATCCCAGAAATTATTTAGACTGAGATTTCGGTGCCCCAACATGAGTGATGGTTTTGAACATTCTGTGGCCCATAAATTTCCTTTGAAGAAAGCAATCGCCAAAGCTTTGCTCACTCCTGTAAGCATAAAGGTAGATCTCCTGTTGACAGTTTTTGCAGAAATATGGAAGCTGTTCAGTACACAGAAAATCAAAAATGTCCATATTTTGGGATTTTGAGGGCCACAAAAAATTGTCGAAAAAAGCGGACAATTTTAAATATTATTTTTTCCTTTTCTCAAATCTCCCTTGTTTGAGCCTCTTTCAACTTTTATTTGTACTAGTGGCTTGCGGCTACAAGATAGTCAACTTTTCATTTATACCAACAAATGGTGAAGGAAGTTATGATCAGTTAAAGACGAGGTTTCCGAAAAAAAATTTTTTTGCTTATCAATCCATATTTTTTCATCGTTTTGCGATGTTAGCACAAGTTAATGTGCGCTGTATAGAGAGAGGTTTGGTGCCTCTGATGGATTTCGCCGCGCTGAAAAATATGGATTTTTCAGAAAGTTGTAGCAAGTCAAAATGAGAACTCGCAAAACGCGCATTACTTTTGCACCAACCTAATAGCTACCCATTCTTTAGAAGGTTAACAAGCAGCAGTAAGATGCAATAATCATTCAGGTGGTTAACCCCTATATTCACGAAATTTCCATGACACTATATAGGATGCCTTAGTCTAGAACTCTAAGGGCATGAAATAATGTAGTTTTCGCTATTTACTTTGAGGCTAGGGAAATTCACTGATGGTACCCTTCTTCCTGAATTTAGAAACAATGCTTGTTTGACTTCAGGTATTGCCTTTCATGGTAAATTTCTCAAGATTCTTTCGATTTCTCTGAGTAGTATTATAAATCGATACGATACAAACTTCTCGCTGAACATTCTCTATGAAAAATGAATTGGCTAAAAATAACAAAGTGAAGTAAAGCAATAAGAGCTGATTCATTTTTCAAAATTCATGGTCAACTTATCGCTAAAAAATCAATTCATACAAAAAAGATAGAACGGTCTAGAAATCATCCTTTCCTCTTATCGGCTTGTTTTTTCTATACTACATCAAAAAGTCATGTTCTATTGCAGGGACACGTACTTTGCCGAAAACTACGATGAAACTCTTTCTGCTTTTGGTTATTTTCGGAATGTGTGCAGCTTGGAATCCTTTTCGTAGAAGGAACACACGACGTACTACTACTACCCATGAACCACTTATTGATCGGTGGGATCAATTTGTAAGGCACAAATCGAAAGTAAAATAGGCTCTTTTTAGGCAGCCTCATATATGTGTGGAAGGGCGTTGCAAAATGTCCCACTACCGTGATGATGGGAGTCCTGACTCTCCTCCCGGCAGCGAAATATACCGTGATTTAAAAACTTGTTTGGATCGTTGCGTTGATTCTTCTGGCCGTCGCACGGACCGTATGTATGTATGTAACCACAACTCTGGACGTTGCCTGAATGTAAGAGAGGCACCAGTAACATTCGCAGGAGAAAAAACCTACCGCAGTGAGCAAGAATGCTTGAGGGCATGCAAGCGCAAGCCTTATTACCCTCATTAAACATCTCTCTTTCCCTATTCTTCACTACATATGCTTAATAATTTAATTAAGTGCTTAATGATTTGCTTAAGTGTTGTCATGGCTATCAAATTATATTCTCTCAAATTTGATATTCATACCTATTTGCATTGTTTTCAATAAACACTGAGGCAAAAAACAACATGAGTATAAAATTTAGGAACAATAACATTCCATGTTGGTGTGAAGATAAAGTGATTGTTGCTTGTAGCTCGTCTGCAAATCGCAAACATCATCGTTTTTGAGAGAAAAGATACTCTATGACCGTACAAAGAGTGACTGACAGTACTGACATGAGTGAAGTTGGTTGTTACAATTACCTTCAACTAAATCTTAGCTTTTTGAACGCCAAGCGACTATCTGCTGGTCGAGCAAAGATCAGTTTGAAACAGTCCCTAAAAGTTTGCAAAAGGTCCCTATAACTTCAGAATGGCTGCGCTTCGCAGTGGGAGGGGGGAGGGTTGAATATGTCTGCAAAAATGCCCACCGAGGATCAGTGTTCAAAATTAAGAAAAGAGATGTGAGAAAGCGGCATCGAAAATTATTTGCTGCTCTCTAAGGAATGACATCCGAGTATATAATGGCTGTAGAACAATCGGAAAAGCGAAATTTTCGATTTTTCCACGATCAAATGGTAGCAAAATCTCCACAGAGTGAATTTATTCGGCATTCTAAATCTAGGAGTTACAGGCCACTCTCCTAGATGTTTGGAAGGATAAAAGTCGAATAATTATTATTCGTTTGCTATTCGACTACTCGATAATGACTTCCGAATGATATAGGTCCGTATTTTTATGCAGATCTTGACTAAACCAGCTCTCCCAGCTTTAATGAAATTATCCCCTCGAAATCTCAGCGGCTAAGGCAACGCTGATGGCGCCGTCTGAATTAGCGCCCCAAATCCGAAATGGCTACTGGAAGTGCTGCCCTACAAAGTGTAAAACATAAATTGAATGGGATGATATTGTGGATAGGTACGGTCAGCGCAGACGTCCTCAAGGCACTAAATTTTTAAGACATAGTACGTTTGAAAATTCCTCGCGAAAAGACTTCGAGGTCTTTTCTACAATCACTATGAGCACTCGCTATGGCAGTAGGCAAATTCAACAAACTAAGGACTCAAGAGCTCAGCGCTTATAGTTTTTTAAACAGATAATTCATACTTTCTTGAGTGTGAACTTCTTCTTTGTTCAAAAAGTACATGGTAGTACTCAAACATTCCTTTACTGAATTTTTTCCGCGCACGGAAACGAGAAAAAGATAGTTCAAAATTGCAAATTCCGTCCGCAGCTCCTCCTACATGTTTCGCTCGTATACTACAAGCCTTAGAAGGTATGACCTTAAAGTAACATTTCTGTAGGCGCCCTGATAATCGAGAAAATAAGTTCAACATTGAAAAACCCGAAAGTGACATTTCTGCTTTTACGGGCTGTACTACAGTGTGGGGCAAAAGTCTGGGAGCCTAATACTTTTCCACATAAAGTCAGAAGGAAAGTTCCTAGAAATCGAAGCTTTACAAATTCAAAGCTCTTAAACTTTGAGATTGCCTCTTCTGGCTTCAAAGCAGCTCTTCAAAATCTTAACGAGACGCCTGTCGTGGCAAGCAGGCAGTCGTGGTAAAATTTGTCCCATGCCTTCACAATGACTGCTTCTTTCATTAAGCAACCGTGCAATATGATAGAGCAAGCTTTTGGCCACAACATATTACGAGAATTATTTGAAATATTTAGGAAGTAGGTTTTGGAATTTTAAATGAAGGCAAGAGTACTCGCATACTGTTTGGATGCAATTGCACGAAAGGGAGCGGAAAATCATAATTTAAAAAGTACTGAAACTGTTTCATTGATCGAATTCAAGTAGATCCATATAGAAGACTCGTTAAGAGTATATAGCTTGATTTTCAGTACCTGCTGATATCCTACAGCTTTCAAATTTATTTTGAAGGCAAATGGCCATTGGCACGCAGGTGATATTTGCAAATTTTTGTTTTGCGTTTTGGAAAGAGTAGTTTCTGGCAAACGCAACTACTACGGTCTGATAGCGCAAAGCCTCCTCTATATCGTATGCAAAGCATTGTAAGACATTCAATGTGGCTTTGGTTACGAAATAAATTGTGAGTACTGAAAATTCTGATTTTCACGCCCTGCAAAAGCGCTTGTTTGATACCAGCTCTTACAAAACATATGGTAAGCATTTTCAGCTGGTACAGTGTGATTTGTAGAGGATGATCGCAGCATTATGTGGCACAAATAATCTGGAATCAAAATCATCGATAGTTTCGTGATGCACAACACTGCAAAGCCGGCTCCCAGACTTTTGCCCCACCCTGTACATTTCCGGTTTTGAGCCCCGAAAAAAATCCACCAAGTAGTTTTTTGGTTACTGCTATGTGTCTACCGTATAACGACCACGTTGGAGTGTAGGAGATAGGGAATTCCTGGAAGGAGAGAAATTCAATTTTTAGAGTGCTTGAAAAATTTTGATCTTTGTCTTCACATTTTACATGGAGTATGACTTAGATAAGTCTTTGGTGGTCATTATGTACAGGGCTCGGCACGAGGTGGCTAGTTGGAAATGCAAAAAACGAAGTCCCCCTTGACTTTTGCGAATTTTTACGAAGTCCCCTTTAAAGGCAGTGTCCGGGCAAAAACTCGATTTTGAGATTTTGTGCTTATACGGGCCTATTGGCCATGCTGAATCCGAAAATCCACATTGGAAAGCGCGAAAACGGCAAACAAGGACTCTGACACAGGAGGGAAATCCGCAGGTGGGCGGGGCTTTCCCCAGTGCGATTTCACGCTCCCAGCTCTCGGAGCGATTTTCTCGATTCCGCTAGCCGTCCTAACATCGCTACCGGCCAAGTGCTAATGATTGACTTGAAACCGGAAGCGAGAAGGTCGCTCCGGAAGCTGGAAACGTGAATTCGCCGTGGGGAGGACCCCGCCCACCTGCTCATTTCCCTCCTGTGTTGGAGCCGTTTTTCGCCATTTTCGCGCTCTACAATGTGCATTTTCGGATTCAGCGTAGCGAATAGGCCCAAGTAAGCACAAAATCTCAAAATCGAGTTTTTGCCCGGACACTGCATTTAACCCTACACCATATTCCCTAAAAAAATCCCTAAAAAACGAACGTCGACTAGAAAAACTTAGCAAATTCTGTTGAATGATACTCCATGGCTCGGAAAACAAATACGATTTGAACTATTTAGAAATACGGTTTACTTTTGGGACAATATAATATTTTCACTTGTAAATCTACTAACAAATGGTTTTCGACTTTCGTAAATCAAGTCCAAAGTCTGAGGTCATCCACCGAATTTTCTACTGTTCATATTTTTATATTGAAGTTCGTGCGTATGGATAAAAATGACAAGATTTAATGAAACATTTATAAAGCAAGAGGTGAAAGGAGCGATTACGAAAGTTTGATAAGATATGACTGTAGATTTCAACATTTGGAACGATCCACAATAATTGAATATACTGTACGAAGAGAAAGTTTGGGATGAAATCTCCGTTGGACCCTCATTTCGATAGAAGCAGAATTGCCCAGTAAAAACACTAAGAAAACCTACACAGAGCAGTGCTGCTGTCTTCTCAGAACAATTCAACATAAAAAGTGAAATAACAATCAAACGTCAGGAATAACGGAGAATGCTCCTCATCGAGGAAGAGTCAGGCGAACCTCTGTCGGATCCACAGTGAAAAATATTTTGAGCAACGTGAACATCCAGTTGGTTGAATGGTAACGGTAAGATTGCCTAAGGCTTACGGTAGCGAAATGCACCAATAAGGACATGGCTAATGAGATGGAATCTGTTGCATCCGATGGAAGGAAGGAATATACAGTAAGCTGGAGCTTATCGAACAGATTTAGAAGATCAAAGATTTTCGATAAAAAATGTAAAGAAGAACGCTGCTCACCATCGAAACACTTCTGTCTACGATGGTAGACGCTCAATGAACACTTTTCCACTGCTAAATGTTCTCAATAGAGCCACTCAAAGCAAACGATTTTTGTATGTTCCATTTTCGATTGTTTGAAGGAACTCGTCGACCTTCACCATTTTGTTCCGCATGCGTTCGCTGTTTTGCTATGGAGCGCATTTTTAAATAGGATAAAAATGAGCAGCAAAGCAAAAAAATCCTTGCAATTTATTAGCCTCTAACTTGATAGATAGTTCTTAATTCTTTTAAACCAAATTTTGGTGAAGATTTGTTTGGAAATAGAGAATAAGGTTGGACCATTCACGGTCAACAGAACGAACTGCAAATTAGTTCGCATGTATGTACATATTCTCACGGAAATAGTGGAGAAAAACAAACAGTTTGTAGAAATTCCGTGAAAATTTAGGCCAACAGGTTCATGTTGTTTTCCACTGTTGAGGAAAAAGAGGACATGCAACCAATGAGGAAATGATGAAGTAGGGTGAATCCGTTCGACATGAGGAAACAGTCCAATTAGGAAATTAGAAACTTTTTCAAGCTGGCTTCTAATTGCCAAGGAAGGAAAGGAATTTTGCAAACTTCAAGGCAATGATAGCTAATAACTTCAAGTGCTAAAATTTTCATGTTGGGAAGCTGAAAAGCAAAACTTTTCAAAGATCCTGGAACCTGTAGTTAAATAAAAAATTCTACCAAAAATACCGTCAGACATTGAAAACCTGGAAACTTGAGAAAAAAAACTCTTCTTTGTATTCCATTAACTGAATTTTAGTAAAATATACAAACAAAATACTAGTTAAAACCCAAAAGAATCTTTATATTTACTACTTAATATTTTGATTTTTATATTTTGTGAGAATTATTTTTTATTTTAAGATTCAGCTTTATGAAAAAAGTTTCTTTCCTGTTTATTTTTATTACTCGGCTACATATCCAGGGATCTTATCTTCATCAAGATTTCACTATTTTCTTTTGTTATATGGGAAATAATCCTGAAGCGCTTCTGGTCTATTTCGTGCCGAAAATGAAAAAAGGGCAGAAGCTACCATTTGAGTTTTTTTCCAGTTCTCGCTACAATCACTTAGTTCATCATGCTAATTAAGGAAATAAACATTGTCTTCGAATAGGAAATGCTAAATAATTTTAGGGAAGGTCGGGATACAGAAATAATAAAGGAAATAGAGACTGCAGCTCGATCAC